AAACACACCCTTTGAATGGACCAACAAGCAAAAACGTTGCTTTCAAGAGTTAAAAAGCAGACTTGTGCCTCGCGAGAACAGATGGGTTTGTCATTTATAGTGATGCCTTATATAATGGTTTGGGTTGCGTTCTTATGCAAAACGGAAAAGTCATTTCTTATGCCTCGCGACAACTAAAGACTCACGAGAAGAACTACCCAACTCATGATCTAGAGTTGGCTGCAATGATTTTCGCCCACAAGATCTGGCGCCATTATCTTTACAGTGCAACATGCGAGATTTATACTGATCACAAAAGTCTTAAATATCAGTTTACACAGAAGGAACTAAATATGAGGCAATGATGGTGGCTAGAATTTATGAAATACTATCATGTAGAGATCCATCAGCATCCAGGCAAAGTTAACGTGGTGGCAGACGCACTAAGCCGAAAGACGACTATAAGTTTGGCATGTACTCTCGTTTCCTACAAGATCAATGGATTGCTCACCAATATAACCGTGGAACCCACTTTGATTGAAGAAATTAAAGCACACCAATATGAAGATAAACTTTTAAAGAAAAAGTACGAAGAGCAAATGAGTACGTTTGATCCTGACTTCACTATAAGCATTGGGTCGCTAAAATTTCGGAATCGAATCTACGTACTCGACATTCCAGAACTCAAGAAGAAGATATTGGTAGAAGCTCATAGCTCGAGGTTTGCGGTCCACCTTGGTAATACAAAGATGTATCATGATCTGAAAAAACACTACAAGTGGACAGGAATGAAAAGAAACATAGCATGCCACGTCACCAAATGCCTACATTGTCAGCGTGTTAAAGTAGAACATCAGAAACCTGCAAGACTACTGTAACCACTCCCTATACCTGAGTGGAAATGAGAACACATCACTATAGACTTCGTGGTCAGGCTGCCACAGTCAGTCTCAATGTGGGTCATAGTAAACCGATTGACGAAGTCAGCGCATTTTCTGCCAATCAAAATCATATACTCCCTTAATAAGTTTGCCACTTTATACATCAAGGAAATCATTCGGTTACATGGTACCCCAGTTTCAATTGTGTCAGACCAAAACCCCCGCTTCATGCCTCACTTTTGGAACACATTGCAAGAAGCCTTGGGAACCACACTGAAGTTTAGCATTGCTTATCACCCACAAACTTATGGGCAATCAGAAAGGACAATCTAGACTTTGGAGGATATGTTACGTCTGTGCGTGTTGGACCTCAAAGGTAATTGGGATGAACATCTACCTTTAGTGGAATTCGCCTATAATAATTGCTACCAAGCAAGCATTGGAATGGCCCCGTATGAAACATTGTATGGAAGGAAGTGTCGATCACTTCCATGTTGGGCAGAAGTTGGAGACATGAGGTTATTAGGCCCTAAAATCATACAGATAACGAGTGATAAAATTCAACTCATCCAACAGCGAATCTGCACTGCCCAAAGCCGCCAAAAAAGCAATGCAGATACACGGAGATGAGACTTGGAATTTCAAGTAGGAGATCATGTTTTCCTAATGATCTCACCAACAAAAGGGGTTATCTGATTTGGAAAGTGAGGAAAGTTAAACCCACGTTACATCGGGCCATTCGAGATACTAGAAAGGATTGGTCCTGTTGCATATCACTTTGCACTACCATCTGAATTGTCCAATGTCCACAATGTGTTTCATGTTTCAATGCTTCGGCAATATCTTCAAGATCCAAAACATGTTATCGATTATGAGAACTTGAAAGTTCAAGAGGATTTCTCTTATGAAAAACAACCAGGGCAGATTCTCGATCGTCGTGATCAAGTTCTCCGAAACAAAACTATACCTCTTGTAAAAGTTTTATGAAGAAATCATCGAATCGAAGAAGCGATGTGGGAAACTGAAAGTCAAATGCGAGTCAAATACCCGCACCTCTTCGAAAATCAAGGTACGTGAAGTTTGAGGACAAACTTCTACTTAGGAGAGGAGAATTATGACACCCTAAATGTTTAATTACATATTCCGCAAAAGCAAAATAAAGTATTGAATGTTATGATTGTATGTGATAAAATGAAATTTAATTAGGAATTACATATATTATAAAAAAGGGTATATAATTAGTTTAAGAATTGAGCCAAATTAGAATTAAACCAAGGTTAATTAAAAGATAAATAAAAATAAAAATAATAATTACAGTGGCCTGTCACCACCCTAGCATATAGGGTGGTGACTATGTACATATAGCATAGGTGAGTCATGGGGAATAGGAGAATAGGGCCACTTGTGAGGACAGGTGGCCAAATTATAAATTGCCCCATATCAATAAGAAAGAAGCCATGCGTCTTTCTCCTCTATAAATAGTTCGCACTTGTGGCTAACCTCGGATAAGAAGAAAATATACTTGCGGGTAACAACGAGGCCATTATAAAAAAGTAAAGACTAAGGGTCAATGTCACGACCCGAACCCGCCCCCGTGGGTTAAGGACGTAACCGGCCAGTAATCATGAGATTACCTACGGCCTCAAACTGTTCTAAACGATGTTTTATAAATTATATTAATATTTTGATTACGTAATTATTTTTTGAACTCTATTTGCTTAAATTGAAACCCATGGATATGTTTGTCTAACTTTTAGAAATTATTTGACAATGGTTTTATAAATAATTATGTCTTGTAAGTACCACCACGGGAGTCCCATGCCTTAGGGGACTTAAATAACCATTGGCCTCTGTTTGACCACTTTATGGTTCTCTGTTTGTCATGGATCCATTGACCTCTGTTTTGACTGTCACTCCTGTGACCTCTATTCTGTTCTGTACTGTGGTTATGGTTATTTATTTACATAATTTATGTATTTCAGTTTTTGCCACTTTAAATGATTTGTTTATTCAAATTAAGTTATGTAAATGTTTTAGTTTAACTAACTATCCATTGTTATTTTGTGTTCCCTATACTCTTAGCATAATATTTCTGACTTTCCTGTGTGCTTATAGCTGTTACCATTTCAGGTGATGAGATGTAAAGAAGACCCGTAACCTCGTGTAGTGGAACCCGTACAAGAATTTGATGTTGATCCATTATTTTTCTTTCCTTTTCTTCCTTTTGTTTTGTTTTTACTGAGGGTCGGTCACTAAATAAAATAAATAAATAAAAGCCCTATAGATGTACTTTCTTTTATCAAAATAGTCAAATGAAGTAAATTTTCTATTTAATTATTTTCTTACTTCCATTTTGCATCTGCCTGCATCATTTAAATTATTATGATTATAATTATTTAGTAAGTTGCGATTCCAGCCCTAACCCCTGGGGTTGGCTCATGACAGACATCATTTTGACGTCACTATCGCTGGCTCAATACTGCGAAGCACGATTGTGTCATCAACTTGGTAGTCCTTCGCCACAGGTGATGATTCAGAGTTTGTTCTTGATGTTGATCCGACACTCAATGTGCTGCCAGGAACGGTGTCCGATGCCGATCGTCACTCATGGTGGTAGTGACAGTTGCGGAGAGTGAGAAAAGAGTAGAGAGAGAAAATAAAACCCGAGAGAGAGAGAGAGAGAGAGAAGCGAGGTCCCCCGCGGGCTGGTTACACAGGGTAGAGAGTCGATCCAAAAAAACCTTAGTGCTTGTTTTGCTTGTGCTAAAATAACACATGCTATTTTAGCACAATATCCTATTTGGGTCACAATCATCTTGTTTGGGTCGCATCACTTCTCTACTACATCACTTCAAACCCAACCCATATTTTATGTTTTTTCATAAAAAGTCGAAAAGTATACTAATCTAGAACTTTCCAAACAATCCCTTAGAGAGGAGAAAAGAGAGGTGTACACGTGTATATATATATATGGGTAGTTTGGTCATTTCAGCGAAGCTTGTCCTTACGACATGGTAAATTAGTCCGTAGACTTTTAGACTTGAAGAAATTCAAAATTGGATTTATGGACCCAAAGCCCATTTAAAAATAAAAATAAAAATAAAAATGTAAAATATGAATAAAATATAGTTATAATTTATTTAGGAAGTGAAAGAGATATGTAAATTTGTGTAAGTTGTCACAAGAATACGTAAATTATCTTATAAAATCGCGTAACTTAAACACAAATTCATGTAAATTAACTTATAAAAATTTGAGAAATCACAAATTAACGTAAGTTTTCACAAACATAGTTAAGTCATCTCACAAAATTATGTAACTTAAATATAAATTCATATAAGTTAACCAATAAAAATTTAAGAAATCATATTTTGGCATATTTTTCACAAATTTACATAAATCACCTTATAAAATCGCAGAACTTAACACAAATTTGTGTAAGTTAACCCATAAAGTGTGTCATAAGTTCTCACAAAAATGTGCAACGTAAGTCACAAAAATACATAAGTAAATGGCATACTATATGCTTTGCACACTCAAGAGTTATCCTATTTATATATATATATATATATATATATAATTTTAGGGGAATTACTTGATAGTGATACAAAGAAAAAAATTACAAAAACATAGGAGTGCAAGTGAATCTGTAGTGGGGTGCAAGTAAAATATTTGTGTATTTTCTTTGTCTCTATCTAACTATTAAGTAATTTTCTCTATTTTTTTAAAAATCTTTATTCAAATTCATGATCCAAACACAATATTAATTTATAATTATTCATTTTCTACCAAAAAATAATGAGGTTTAGATCGTAAATTTGGATAGAGTTTTAAAAACAAGAGAAAAATAAAAATAAAAATAATTTACATTTCATTCATTTTTTTTTCCTTTTTTCTTTTTAAATTTTATGTTAAATTCATGATTTAAATATAACTTAAACAAATTGATTAGTTGTGTAGTTTTATAATACTGAAATTATCTATTAAAATACAAAAAAAGGTAAAAGAATTTTCATTCATATGTTAATATCAAGTACCTTTTTTTATCCAAATATAGTTGTGACAAAGCATATTTTAAAAAAAATTCACCTACATAAAATATTACAATCATTTTTATTTTAATTTTCTTATCCTGCATCCAGCAATCCAAACAAGGTGTAAGTGTGTCTCACTGTTTTGTTTGACTTGTTGATATCTGAAGTCTTCGATTGTAAAATGTATTAGGGTTGTGTCTGGTTTGAATCAATCAGTCAGTAATCGGTAAACAGTATGAGGGTTGTTACAGTTTGGGACCTCCATATGCCACTTAATGTTATATCTCTCTTTTATTCCCCATTCTTGCATGTTTAGTTAGCCTATCATGCTTTTGTTTTTGGCCATTTTACAGTTCTGGAAATAGTCCTATTTTGGCCCATTATACATGTTTTATTAAGGGTCTTTGGCTGTTTGGTGAATATTTTGCATACCTCATGTTATAGCCACTTTTGAGCCTCATTTTGCATCGCATTTCTATCATGTTTGTATACTGATTTTGAGGCTGCCATAAACTGTAAATGTGCATATTTTTGGTCCCTCTTCAGTGTTGTAGAAGGGAATTTTTCAGTTTGGATTTTTCTTATATCACTTGCTTCATTACCCCTCTCTTGGCCCCTATTCTTGCATGCCATTTTTGCCCTACCTATGCTTGCTGTTTGGCCATGTTTATAACTGTGAAAATCCCTTTTTTTGGGACTGCCTAGCTTCTTTCTTTGCATTACATGTCCATATTGTGCATGCTTGGCATAGCTATAGGCCATTTCGGGTGCCTAAATTCGCATTTCGGGACAATTTCATGCATTTGGTGCCATTTCGCCTCATTTTGGGGCTGCTTTCCCCCACTTTTCAGTGCTGAAATCCCATTACCATGTTTGCATATCATTCACTCATGTTGGTATAAGCCCATCTCACATTCTCATGTCATCGCATCGCATTCTATCATTGCCTCGGTTTGCGTGCCC